GTATGCAGGCTTCTGATCACTGTCACAATTAGATCTATATGTAACACAAATGATGGGGGCTTTGTCATGGAAATAGGAGTCGTTCTGTAGCATACATAATCATGGAGCTTTTCATCCTAACATCTCATTCTTTCTATTGATTAAAACTAGAGCCTTAAAAGAAAAGTTTGGAGAAAAAGAAGTTTGATTTTAGGAATTTACTTTGTCTATGTTGTAGATCTTGAGTCTGTAAGTGTCTTTTTCCGATTTTCCCCTTAAGGATGCTTCATCAACTTATCAATTGTAGTCCACATACGTAAAGTCTTTTGCCTGTTTACCATATATCATCTCAGTGTATCGTACATTATACTGCTAACTGATTGGATCATCATTGAAATTACTAATTCTTGTAACCCTTTATTGTGCTCTCTCAGATCGGTGAACTATGCTACTTTGGTCACAGCCAGACTAATCATAGTGGCATCACATATGGTGAATTTATTATGTTTAGAGTTGTCTTATTCTTCACCTTCTTTTCCTGAAATATGATGGTTACATTCTCTTTGTTTACTCTGTTTTCACAATATTTAATGCTCTTGTGAAGGCTGGCTTGGGACTTCCTGATACAGAGGCTTGGAACATGATCGAGACAATAGCAGAGAAACAAAAACTTGGTTACAAATTACTGGTAAATTAGGCTTTCTGTTTATTTCGTTCTCCAGCTATTAAAATGTCTCATATTTCCTCTACTTTTTACTCATAACGTTTACAAGTTTCAAGCTTTTTAATTGGGCTTTGGAAACCCTCACCAACTGAGACCTAAATTTTTTTGTTGCATCTTTGTTTCAGATTAAACTCAGAGGGTTCTTGTCGCATGTTCAGCAACTTCGTGTTGGCTATTGGGGCGCTTCTTCATTTAAGCAGCAGTCGATATCTTCTGGGTTGCCATCCCCACGTCCAAAAGATGTCTCAGATGAAACCCAACAACCCGCAGAAGCTTCTGGAAGGAGTTGGGTTCAGAGTATGTTTAGCAGAGATACAGCATCAAGAGCGAACTCATTCAGCCGTGTTCGTAAATGGGTTTCTGATAATGCTTCTTCAGGTATACACATGATTAGCTCTTCTTTCTTTGTGGTTGCCATTCTGAATCGTTGTTGCTGAAACAATATACTAAACATGGCAAAACAGATATAACTGCTGCTGCACAGAAGAAAATTCAGACCAATGTCCGTGTTCTTAAGGGTCACGGTGGTGCTGTCACTGCCTTGCACTCTGTGACAAGAAGGGAAGTCTGTGATCTTGTGGGCGATCGCGAGGATGCTGGGTTCTTTATCAGTGGCAGTACAGACTGTCTGGTCGGTATAAAATGCTTGTTTAAAACAAATGTTTATATGGTTATTTTTCATTCGTCAGTTTTTATGAAATGTTCTTGATATCTACGTTGGGAACACACACCTTGATGACTTAAAGTGTGTTGTGTATTGTTAGGTCTAAACGATGGTTGCATTCTCTTTCTGTTAGGTCTAAAGATCATTACTTGGAAGGTCAAAGGGTAGTTCATTCTTTTGCTATTATTGTTTATCTAGATAAGTGTAATATTTTGCTATTCATGTTACCATAGTCGTGGATATAGTAAATTGGAACATTTGGAAGAGTAACTATGCCAAAGTAGAATTGGAACAATAATTCATATGATGCTTCTTTTGCAGTGTAGTGTGTAACTTGTTATGTGGAATAGTCATTGATTGAATAGTTTTCATTTAAGAGATGATGATCGTTCTCTTGAATATGTTGTAGTCTTTCATATTTTTCATTTCTTGATATTCATATAATTTTCTGCTAATTCAGAATGGGTAATGATACCCTAGTATCCCTTTTGATTGCTTCCTGAATTTGAACAGGTTAAAATCTGGGATCCAAGTCTGCGTGGCTCTGAACTCCGAGCGACTTTGAAAGGACATACTGGGTATACTCTATTTGTTATTCGCCTTGATGTCTCTTGGGAGTTGTTGTTTTTTCGTTAATTTGTCATATGTTGCGGTTTCTTTAACAGCACTTCCTTTCTTCTTTTCTTTTAACTTCTGATGCAGAACCGTTCGTGCTATTAGCTCTGACAGAGGTAAGATAGTTTCAGGATCAGATGATCAATCTGTCATCGTATGGGACAAACAGACAACTCAGCTTCTAGAAGAACTGAAAGGCCATGATGCACAGGTTTCCACTACACTCTACTTTTTTTTTTTGACATTAAGATATAATTCATAAGGGAAAAGTAGTAATGGTAAACACAGAATAAACATATAGACATGGACGTAATTAATAAACAGATGACTGTCAATCATCGGGATCCCATTTATAAAATTTTGGAGTTACCACCACTAGATCTGCACTGTATTGATCGTTGATCAACAAACAATTTCAATTTGTAACTGTTAACTGTCTATCAGCCATAAGGCACCAAAGAGGGAGCTTTAATAGTGGTAACTCACCTTTTTCTGAATAAATATTGTGCAGGTAAGTTGTGTCAAGATGCTTTCAGGCGAACGTGTCCTCACTGCTGCACATGATGGAACAGTTAAGATGTGGGATGTTCGAACCGATATGTGTGTTGCAACTGTTGGCCGATGCTCTAGTGCCATACTTTCGATTGAATATGATGACTCCACAGGAATCTTGGCTGCTGCTGGCAGAGACACGTATGTATGCTATTTTACACATATGTAACATACCGATTTTCTGTACTGAATGTCACTCACGTATTCAACTTTAATGATTGGATTATCATCAGGATTGCAAATATATGGGATATTCGTTCAGGAAAGCAAATGCATAAACTGAAAGGGCATAACAAGTGGATACGGTGAGCCTCACCGTGATCTTTTACATCATGTTTGTTTTTGTTGTGATCTTATATTAATACAAAATTAATAAACTGTTAATGATACTACATCTTGAGGGTTGCAGGATTGCTTAATAATAAATATTATGGAATTGATTCTTATTACTTTGTAAAATGTTAAGAGGATATTATAATATTTCAGATCTGCTACTTGTTTGATTGAATCGTGTCAATTCTGCAGATCAATTCGAATGGTCGAAGACACCTTGATTACTGGCAGCGATGACTGGACAGCAAGAGTGTGGTCTGTCTCTAGAGGATCATGCGATGCCGTTTTGGCATGCCATGCTGGGCCAGTACAATCTGTTGAATACTCCACATTCGACAAAGGAATAATCACAGGTCCATCATGATTTCAACTAGACCTATTCAGTATTTTACCACCAATGCTCAAAAGAATTACTTAAAAGCAGTGATTTCACAAATAACATCGAAAGCTTAAGTTAGTGCATTGCTATCTTTTTCTTGCAGGCTCGGCTGATGGATTGCTCCGATTTTGGGAAAACGATGAAGGTGAGGATCTCACTATTAACCTTCACTCTGACCTGACCTGCTTTGGTTAAATTTTATTCAGCTGCTTCCTAATACTTTGGTTTTCAGGTGGCATTAAATGCGTGAAGAACATAACGCTTCATAGTTCTTCCATACTATCGATCAATGCTGGTGAACATTGGTTAGGCATTGGAGCAGCGGATAACTCAATGTCTCTTTTCCATCGTCCTTCTAACGCTGGAACCAAAGTCTCAGGCTGGCAACTTTATAGAGTACCGCAAAGAACAGCTGCCGTGGTACGATCCTCTTTTCATATTAGTTGCAACTTACTATATCTTTCTTATAATGCGGTTTGAAAATTCTTACGAGGCCCTGAAACTGTGACTGAATCGAATTTGTGATTCAGGTGAGATGTGTTGCGTCAGATCTCGAGAGGAAACGGATATGTAGCGGTGGCCGGAATGGAGTTCTCCGACTTTGGGATGCTACCATCAACATCTGATTTGTCTTCAACAACTGTATCTCTGTGTATCTTTTAACTTTGTTATTTCTTGTTCTTGCTCATTTTTAGATTTGCGTGTTGAAGAAAATTTTGTTTTTTGTTTTTTTCATCCTGTGATTACTTTTCTTTGATTATTTTTTATATATGTTTTCAAAGTAATTCTTGTTTCGATCGATCTATTAATAAACTGTAGCGTTTTCGTATTTGTGCTGATCATTAATAATGAAAATATGTTGATCTTCCTTAGACATCATCTTACATTTACTTTTGTTATTTATCTTGAACTTTTGCAATCTACAAATTATTTACGTGTGAGAAAGAGTGAAATCAATTCAAAGCTGAGGAGTTTAGCTACCAGTAAACTACAAAAGATAAATTTGATTATTTTTGGAATCCCAAAAGAATATCAAATGGTAATCACACACTAAAGTGATCATAGCAAATTAGCAATAGATTAGTGCATGCCCACCCAAGAAAGCGAAGCCTCATTGACATTTATTTTTTGGTTT